TATTAGCTGCAGCTACAAAGTTCAGAATGCCAAGTTCTTCAAAACAGTCCAATTTCTTTCACAAAAATGCAAGGAAAAGGAAAAGAGGATTGAGGAAATCTAAAAGAGACATAATAGACCATATCAACCAAACACAATACATAACTGATATTAGCATTCTAATTCAAACCAGCCAACTACACAAAAAGTTTTTAGATAATTGAGGATATTTAAATATTGCCTGGATAATTTAATGCTATTAATGGATTATTTAGGTGTGATAATGGTATTGTGGTTACATTGATAGGAATCTTCTTTTTCTTAAATGGGGTCTTGATATGTTGCCCAGGCTGGTCTTGAACTCCTGGCCTCAAGTGATCCTCCCACCTCAGCCTCCCAAAGGGTTGGGATTACAGGTAGATAGTCACTGCACCCAGCTCACTGATGGAATTATCTTTTAGAGAAATATTCAAAAATATTTATGAATACAATGATACAATATCTGAGATGTTATCCAAAGTAATTCAGTGGGGAGAGGACTGTCAGAGGATAAAGATGACACAAGGTTGGCCCAGGCGAGAAGTAAATAGAGGTTAATTACAGTAATCTCTTTAAACTTAAAGAAAATATGTATCTTATACATTATAACATATGTATCTTAAGAAACATAATATACATTATGTCATATTTCAAACAATGCTTATATTTTCTTTAAGTTTACAACCTATACCTTGAATAACACAATAATAGTCCCCTTAATTTTAGGAACTACTGGTCATAAATATGCCCTTATATATAGACATCTATATACATAGCAAAAGCACAGCATTTGACAAAAAGGAAATCTCTTAGGCTACGTTTAATCTTATTGTTCTCTTTGCCTGAATTTGGAAGTAGAAACTGCTTCACTGGCTAAGAAAATCATAACGGTCCCAAAATACTATTAATTACTGATTTCAATAAACATATCCCTAACTGCTAAGAACAATTAAGAAAATGAAGTTCATGCTCAGGTAAACCTGACAATATTAAGGTAGCTGAGTAACAGGGAACTAATATTTAACTGAATTTCATACTGGGCTCTCAAATCCTTTTTCTTTTTCTACTCTGTTTTTTGGATGGGGCAAATTTTGGTATTGTTAGCAATCACCTATGTAAGCTCTTTGCAGGTGGTGTATATAGAATCAATTAATGCTTAAAATCCATTACAGGGCCGGGCGCGGTGGCTCACACCTGTAATCCCAGCACTTTGGGAGGCCGAGGCGGGTGGATCACGAGGTCAAGAGATGGAGACCATCCTGGTCAACATGGTGAAACCCGGTCTCTACTAAAAAAAAAAAAAAAAAAAAAAAAAATTAGCTGGGCATAGTGGCGCGTGCCTGTAATCCCAGCTACTCAGGAGGCTGAGACAGGAGAATTGCTTGAACCCAGGAGGCGGAGATCGCGCCATTGCACCCCAGCCTGGATATCAAGAGCGAAACTGCGTCTCAAAAAAAAAAAAAAAAAAAATCCATTAGAATAATTTCAGTGATTACATGAAAAAAATAGCCAGAAAAACTTTTTTGTAGAACTTATGAGGTGACACTAACAATTAGAATAAGGTTACTATTTAGACAGTAATCAGATGTTAAAGTGGAAAGAAATTTCTGAGCATTTTTCCTGAAAGCTGGGGGGGTCTGAGAACCATGACTCCCCCACACTTCCAATAAAATGTGGTGAAGGACTGGTACACAAATCTTAAAAGCCACCATTTGCTAAATCTCCCCGCCAGCCTTGTTAGTCCTTACCGCCCTTTGATTCCATTATTTTTCTCGTGGTTTCTGCTGTTTCTCTACATTTTCTAACGGCCGTTATTAAGTAAAAATGAAAGGAATGGGGGTCGTGTGATCTAGGCAGCCTGGAGATGAGATTTGGGAATCATCAGCTGCATTCCAATATTTAAACAGATTTTATTCATTTTGGATACTAAAAGTACACCGAATCGGGACTGTAGAATGTTACCGCCGTACTAGACGGCACCTGCCTGGGATTTGCTGGCAATCGACGGGCCCCTCTGCTTGCAGCCTTCAGCCAGCCGCAGGGGACCCTAGTCCAGCTGTTCCCGGACCTTCTCTCCTCTCCAGGGGCCACCACCTCCCCCACTCCTGTAGACCAGGACCTTCTGACCTGAGGGTCCGCGAAGGGCTAATCCTTGCGACAGCCGGCGTCCCCCTGCCCGCTGGTCTCTTTGACCTTCACTGCAGGTCCGCGTAGCCCAGCTTGTGGACACATTTCAGGCTGCTAGGATCCAGCGCGGGGCGACGAAACGGATAGCGGGATCAAAACTCGGGAGAGGAATTCCGGCTTCCCGGGGTGGCGCAGAGCACCAAGCTGCCCCACTCCACTGCCTTGAGAAGGCGGCTGGGATTAGGAGGTGGCTTCGGGCCCGCAGGGAGTCCAGGGGAGAGACCCCTGGTACTGCCGGCGCCTACGTTGAGGGTGCCTGGGTTCCTGGGGACCACGAGAGGAAAAAGAACGAAAATCATGGCAGGGAGGAAGCACACAGAGAGTGCTCCTTTGTGAAGCGGGGTGCTCTGGGCTGGCGCGGGCCGGGACGCTGCCGGGGGGAGTCTGGCGGCGTGGTTCCCACGCTCCGCAGAGGCTTCCAGTAAAACTCACAGCCCCGGCGCTGGGGTAGGGACCTGATCGCGCGCATCTTTCGACGCTGCTGGGTCTCAGGGAGAGAAACGCTCTTCCTGGAGCCGGGGTTCGTGGGACAGAGACCAGGAGGAAGAATCTGGGACCCTGGTCCAGGTCAAGCTTCGACCCCTGAGATGCGCGAGAGGCCCAGGCAGGAAAGGGCGCGTGGAGTTAGTGGTTCAGAAAGCAAATCCGGCAGGGTGCTGTCTGAGCGTCCTCGGGCGAGTTTTTAATTTTTCCGAGTTGCCTATTACTAGTCTGGAAAATGGAGAATTCTACAGTGTCTTCAGTGAGTGCTCTGGGAGTGATAAAGGAGGATCTCGTGCCTGGTACATCGGGAGCAGCGGGGAAACGGTTGGCCAATATTGTTATTATTATTAGTGTTATCAGCAGGTAGGACAATGTGTGTGTGTGGGGGGGGGTCACTTTTCCCCAGTTTTCCTTCTGTCCCTGTCCCAGCCTCTCTGCGTCTCCCAGCCCTTCGCGCGCGGCTCCAGCTCTTCGGCTCCCCTCCATGTGCAACTCTAGGCTTGGCAATCAGCCAGTCCTCCAGAAGATGATCCCCAGGGTGGAAGACCACCCTTGACCCTCGACCCTGGACTCTTCGCGCAACTTGCAAGCGCCGTGGTTTTTAAACCCGGCCTCAGGGTTACAGAAGCCCGGGATCTCAGAGGCGTCCGGGAGGTCCGCGCAGAACCACGGGGACCCGACCTGGGATCCAGAGTACTGCCTCTTGCTTTGTGCCTTCAGAAAGGCGGCCGGTCCTGGTCACCGCGCCAGGTACTACGCGCCTCAGGGACGCGCCCGTGTCTAGGGGAGCTTCGGCGCCTTCACGACGCCTGGGCTGCCCCGGCAAGTGCTCGGTGTTGTTGGCGGGTTCGTAGGTGCGCCAGGCTACCTTCCGGTTCCGCGAGGAACTCCCTGTGGGTCACACCCAAAGGCCGGATCTTTCCTTGCCGCCTGGGTGCTTCCAAACAGGAATTTACTCCGCCACTGAATCGATTGTTAAGAGTCATCTTTGGATATGGTTTCATTAGGTAAAAATTAGGAACTGGAAGGCCGGCCTGGGCGGGGGTCTGACCCTCAGTCACCCATGTTCGAATTTTCTTGGCAGTGTTAGTCTCGCCTCGGGCAAGGGAAGGAAGAAAATAAGGAGGGTGCCAAGAGAGCTTAGAGAAAGTCCTTTCTGGGTTCAGCGGCAGGCTGTAGCCGCACTCCCAGGACGTTTGTTGACTGAGTAAAAGAACGAAGGTTCTGGAAAGTTTCGCACATAGGGCAAAGGGGAGTTGGAACTTGAACCGGAGAGAATGTGGCATTAAATCGGACCCCTCTATTATCAGTTTGTTTCCAAACTCTTAAACTGCTCCAGCCTTGCTGAATTTGCTGAAGTAGTCTATCTTGGATGCTGGTGGTGCTCGGGGCTGAAGGCTACCTGGGCCAAGAAGAGGGAAGACTTGGAAGCTGGAGTCAGGGCGGCCACCAGGGGTGGGGCTTGGGAACTTTCCGGAACGTCCTCAAAACCGCAGGAGCCGGGAGGAAATCTCCCGTAGGTGATCTCAGGTAGGGCAAGAGGATGGGAGGGAGAAGAGAAGCCGTAGTAAAAGTTGGCCACTTAGACTACTGCAAAAATGTGGGTCTCCAGGTTCGTCCTCCCTCCTGAAATAAGAAATTCATAGCTGAGGGTGGGAAGTAGATGGGGGTTGGGGGAGCAATTTTCTCACATTCACAGAGCGGCTTCCCTCCAAGTGGCACGGAATTGGGAACCCTACTCAGGACCGGGGAAAACGGCTGAGTTCCTAGAAATGTGCTTCCTTCCTGGGGAGCAATTCGTGATGGGCGTTCTTGTCTGGTTTCCCCCCACCCCGGTCCCCTAACTGCGAATAACACTTAAACCTTTCTAGTTGCAAAGTCATTTCAGAAAACTTTAAAATAAGCTTTGAAAATTCTAGTGCTTTAAAATGTATATATTGCCTTTTATTTTCTCTGAGTAAACGTTGACCATTACATTCCAAATTGATCTGAAATGGTTTTCCAGCTTGTTGGGGGCGAGGGGTGGCGGAAATCACCGTCTTTATAAAGATGAAAAAATAAATGGAGAATATATTTACATACCTTCCTATTCTTTTCTTCTGGACGTCTCGTGAATAGTAAATTTCCTATTTTAAAAGCCAAGACTTTTTCAACCTCAAATATTTGGAATTTTTAAAGGCCATATTGAAGTGGATTACTTCTGATATGTTTGATAAATATGAATTGTGAAAAATAAACAGAAAACGTAGGTTTTAAACTAGCTCCATTTTAGAAAGGGAAGAATGAGACGTAATAGAAAATAAAGGATGTAGTGTAGTGATTTAGCATTTTATTTCGTCTATATAACTAGGCTTAATTTTAATACCTTAATTTTAACATGAAACATGGCACGTCAGTCACACAGATATCAGTGTTCTGAAATTAACATCCTACTTACATTACACATCCCTATCAGGAAGACAGAGGGCGGAAGCATTTTGCACTTAAGAATAATACTTCCAGTTCCAAGGAAGTGAAGAAGGGGGGACATGATTGGCGTTGGAGGCTGTGTTTTTTGCTTGCTTGCTTGTTTTTCTTTTAATACCAGAACAAAATACCCCACTCACTTTCATAGTTCCCCCAGGAAATGTGCAAATCGGGAAAGCTGTGGAAGCCACAACTGAAGGCAAGAAAAGATGACTTGACGCCCTCCAAAGTTTACGTTCAGGTGGTCTTTAGAGGAATGGAATCCAGCTGTTCCTTTCTAACCATTTAGCAGCAAACAGAACTTTGTGTTTGCTCTGCAGCGCGATTCAGATGCACAGGCCCAGTCTCGGCCGCACAAGATGGAGTGAGCAGCTGCGGGTCGCGCCGCCCTCCCACCTAGCTCTTGGAACGCCCTGCGGAGTTGGCCAGGGAAATGGGCGTGGGTGCTACTCAGAAAGCCGGTGAGGTCCCTTCTCCGCCCAAACGGACAGCCAGCGAAGTCAGCCTAGAGCCCTCTGCCACTGCCTGATACCTAAGCAGCGCCGAGGCGGCCGACAGGTTCCCTCCCAGCACCGCGCCCTCGGTGGGAGCACAGCCGTCGGCGCAGACTTCCTCCTCCTGATGCTGCTGCTGTAGCTGCAAAACTGTCCGAGCAGCGGCGGCGACGGAAACGTGCAGCAAAGGGGCAGCGGTCTGGGGATCCAACAGGCATGATGGGCGCTGCAGCAGGTGGCAGTAGCTCCACGGGGTCGGGGACAAACTCTGCGCAGCCCCTGTACCGCCTCCCCTGACCCCTTGCATAATACTCTCAATGCTGAAAGAGATGCATCCACCTTCTGGTCGCGACGCGGGACTTTTGCCCTCCTCCCAAGGCTGGAGACCTAACGAGGGCTGCAGAGCCGGAAGGGTGCCAGGGATCATCAGGTCCGCGCCTTCTGCTTTCCCCGGTGCCTCTGCATAGGCGGGGGCCGAGAGCAGTAGGTAACGAAGATGATGCGGGTGCAGCAGAGCGCACGGGCGTCTCCCAGGCGCGGCGGTGGAGTAGGCCCCCGGGACAAGCTGCGGCGGGGCAGGGGCCCCAAGCAGAAGGCCGGGGTGGTGGTTGTGCAGGGCGGCAGGAGCAGCGGGTAGAGGGAAGGGGTGGGGTAGGTGGTGGGCTCTCGAGGTCGGTTGGTGGCGCTTGAAACGCTTCCTGCGCCGGAGAAAGCTGCCATTGTCGAACATGTCCTGGGAGGCGGGGTCCAGGCTCCAGTAGTTGCCCTTGCCTGGCTGGCCCGGCTCGCGGGGGATCTTGACAAAGCAGTCGTTCAGCGAGAGGTTGTGGCGGATGCTGTTCTGCCAGGCGGGGAACTTGCGGCGGTAGTAGGGGAAGCGGCCGCTGATGAAGGCGCAGATGCCGCTGAGCGTGAGGCGCTTGTGCGGGCTCTGCAGGATGGCCATAGTGATGAGCGCGATGTAAGAGTAGGGGGGCTTTGCCGGCTGCGGGGCATCTCCAGAGGCCGCCGCATACTTCGGCGGTATCCTGAACTTGGTGCCAAAGTCCGAAGGCTCGCTCGGGCCGCCACCGCCCTCTTGCTCTCTGGGAAGCGCACCCCCGCCCCGCCGCGCCACCTGCAGCCCCGGTTGGGGCTGCTGCTCTAGGAACTGCTGGCTTGCCTCCTCCTCCTCGTCTTCATCTACCTCCTCTCCCAGGACATTGATTTTACCGGTTTTCCCACTGGAGTCCCGGAGGCTGCGCTGCAGTGTGGAGGGAAGACGCTCAGCTCTTGGCAAGTCCATGGAGGAGCAGGTTCTTTAGTCGTAGGGGATGCGGCGGCCGATCACCTGGCCTGGGCTGGGCTGGGCTGGAAGCCTGGGATGAATGTTGCAAGAAGCAAGAACACTAGTGGTTACCCTTTGGGATGTTTTCGTCTGCTTGTTTCTACTCCTTTCCAACAACGTCCAGCAAAGTATGCACGTTGTCTTTTATAAAAGCTTCTTCAAGACCATGTGTGGTGGACTCCCCCTATATAATCCTTCTTCCCCTACCTCGGAGCGGTGCCACTTCCTCCTGACGCAGTCCAATGATGAGGGTCTGCTGGGCAAATACTCGACCTGATAAAAGCCCAGACCCCTCCTCCTTGCACCCACCTGCCACCAAGGAAGATGCTCCACTCGTCCAGCGCAGCAAGCTAGTTGGCCGGGCTTTGCATGGGTTCTGTTAAGGCGCAATTAAAACCGCGCAAATAAAAACGAGGTAGGAAAGTATGATACTCAACAATCTATGACCACTTAGACATGCAGCTTTCTCTCCTGGAGAAAAGAAATGGCGGCTGGGCGGCAGGAGGCGGGGAGGCTGAAATGTACACGGTGGTTTGTAAAGGAATGTGTAGACGTGAAAGTACGTTTTTGTTTCACAGCTGGGTAATTACCCATTTTCTTTGGTAGAGTCTGTCCTTATCCAGAATGGTGAGCTGAATTATATTTAAGGTTCTAACAACATTCCCAAGCTGAATGGGGGGTTTGAGGCAGGGGGGAGGAGGGCGTGCGCAGGTGTTGCTTTGCCCCTTTTACCTTTTCCTCTCCTCCCCAAGATGCTCTCCGACCCAAATTTTCAAAAAGGTTGGAATGTCTTAGCATTAAGTTGTGGAAGTTCATTCAGGGAAGGCAGAAGAGCTCACGTGGAGCACTCTGTCCCCTTATAGTAATGGTTCTCCAACTTCTTTGAATGTTTAACCACAGTAAGAAATGCATTTTATATCACAATCTTGCACATACAGACATACGTATCTAAGATGGGTTTCACAAAACAATATAATTACACTATAGTGATTACCAATATTTCTTTTTTTAAAAAAATGGTCTTAACCAACTAAACTGATTTCACATGTATGGGCCCAGTTTGAAAAAATGCTGTTCTTACAAAATGGCTCCACATAGAAAAGATACACCCAGTCTATAATGGCTTCTCTCTCCCTCCCTTTCCTCCTTTTTAATCATTTCATTTTTAAGAGACAAGATCTATGTTGCCCAGGCTGGCTTTGAATTCCTGGGCTCAAGTGATCCTCCTGCCTCAGTCTCCTGAGTAGGTGGGATTACAGGCACACACTACTCTGCCTGGTTCTGGCTCTTCCCTCATTCTGTTAAAAGTGCCAACATTAAGTGCTTTTACTGTAATGATAAAAGTAGGAACTTTAATGAGGCAAGAAGGGGCTGCAGTGTTGTCTTTAAATCAGTGGGTTCTCATTCACTATCTGTACTGGGGAGGGGTAATATGGCAGCAGAATTGTTCAACTTACTCAACATCCTTAGAAGTAACACGATTTTTAGATTGGCTTCATTTAAATTAGCTCAGTCTAAAGTAGCACTACAGAGGAATAAAACTTAATATTTGTTATATAAATAAGAATCTTATTAGAGTACTAAGTAAGATACTATGTCACAGTACACATTCATAATTTAAAACCTACCTACGTGGGAAAAATTCGGGGTGCCATGTAATAAAAATGCAGCACAAACTATGCCATTGATTGTCACATAGTGTCTATAATTATGACAATGAATGTTCAGTGAGAAATCAGAAGCCAACTACAAGGGCAAAATATAACAAAAAATAGCTTAAATGAGCTAGTGCCTTCAGGATAAAATCTGGAAAACAGCTTTCTTGCAAATCTTCTTTTAAAACTTATGTCTTCTCTGCTCCTGAAGTTTTTACCCTTTAAGGCACCTCAGTTTATATGCAGCTTGGAGGACAAGCAACAGGCAGATCTGAGCCTAACACATTTGTTTGAATCCCAAATTTACCAATGACTACTTGTGTGACCTACTAAACTAAGCTCCAGGAGGGCCAGGACAGGTGTCTTATTCAACCACAATAATCCCAGATGTCTCCTCCCCAGCCCTCTGCGGGTGAGGCACATTTCTTCCATCAGCATAGGAACTGGATGACCTGCAGCACTGTTAAGTTTTTCTAGCCCCAACTTCTATAGGGATTGGAGTTATTTAAAAATGAAAGAAGAAAAATAAGGAGGTACTCAAAAACAAAACGAAACACAAAACCCACATTGATGGGGGTATGTCAAAGGGGGAACAGGAGAAAACTGAAAGAGTTCCCAATGGCCAAAGCTGGGATAATTTGAGTAACAAAATATAGAATTAAAATGTAACCCAAAGTATAAAATATTCATGTGTCCACGCTGATAAACATAAATGATTGAATCAATGAACAAGGGGAAAGAGACAACTCTCCCTTGAGGAAGAATTTCGATTAATTATGTAGCCACTCCACTCCCCAAAAAGTAGACTACAACTCCCCATTCCTTTATTGTGGGCAGAACATAGTGATTTTCTTCCAAGCCCAGTATGAAAAAGGGGGTAAAAAGTAACTTTACAGTGGAGAAACCTGATAAACACCCCTTCAGCCAGGTGATCAGGTCAACAATGTCAACATCAATAGTCATAAATCATGGTAACACCATATACCCTTGGTATGATGTGATGAAAATGGTACTCCGTGATTTTTCTCCAAAAACCCCTAATCATGAGGAAAACATCAAATTCCAACACAGGAGCATCTTGCGCACCTGACCAATATACCTCAAAACTGTCAAGTCCATCAAAACAAGGAGATTCAAAGGGATTGTCACAGCCAAGAGGAGTCTAAGGATGCATGACTATTACATGTAGTGTGGTATCCTAAATGAGATTCTGGAACACAAAAATGGTATTATGTTAAAAACTCAGGATATCTGAATAAACTGTGGGCTTTCATAATAATGTGTCAATATTAGTTCAGTAATTGCAACATAAATGTCCCATACTATTATTTTGTTAGTGTGTGTAGGGGGGAATAGATGAAAACTCAGTACTATCTGCTCAATTTTTCTGTAAATCTAAAACTGTTCTAAAAATACATTCTATTAATTTAAAAAATTAAACATGGGTGGGGAGGAACCTAACAGCCCAGAAGAAGAAACTTAAGTGTCCATCTGATAATGAATGGATAAACAAAATGAGGTATATCCATATAATAAAATTTTTTTCAGCAGTAACAGTGAAGTACTGACACATGTAACAACATGGATCAATCTTGAAAACATTGTTATGTGAAGGGAGTCTAAATAGACAAATCTATAGAGACAGAAAGTAGAGTGGGGATGGGGGCAGGGGAAAACAGCAAGTGACTGCTAAGAGATTCAGGGTTCCTTTTTGACGTGATGAAAATGTTCTGGAATTAGACACTGGTCATAGTTGTGTACAGTAGATAGACTCAACAGTGGATATACTAAAAATTATGAATTGTGCCCCTTAAAAATGAAAAATTTTATGGTATGTGAATTATATCTAAATAAAGTTGTTATACCAAATATATCAATATAAAAACAAAGAACTGTAGCAATGAAAAGTAAGTTGAATGCTTTGGAAAGACTCCATAATGGCACATTACCCTAAACAAGAAAAAAGAAGAAAGGAACCCTTACTGTCCTATCCCATCAATTCCATAGTGTTGCCTTAAGAATCAAGTCTTATTTTGTAGCTCCTGCAACATTTAACACAGGACCTTGTGCATAGTGGGCAGTCAATAATGTTTTGGTTACTTCTAAGGTTGAATAGTTGTTTTGTTTTTTGTTTTTCAGAACAAACATATCAGGGGTTCATAAGATGTCCTCTGGTTTGAAAAAACAAACCTTTCTAAGTTAATCTACAAGAAGGATGATGATGTCTTGTTTCTATTTCAACCTAAAAATTAAACACAATTTGGTCATCAGAGTTAAAGGTAAGGTTGACTCTAATATTAAGATACATTCTGAGAACTCTACCATATCTCTCCTCATCAAAGCAGGGTGAGTTTCTGGACATTTGAAGGTAGAATTCACTTTTTTCCCATATCAACTCTACTAATGTATACATTTCTAAAACTGGGAAAGTCATTTCAAAGCAATTTAAAAATAAATTTTCCATACCTATACCAGTAATCCAAAGGAAACAATTATTCAATTTGTAGAAAGCAGCTAAGCCCATAATGTTACAAAGTACTGATCACTATTGCTTTAAAATATTGCTTTTAGCTTCATTTTGTTGATCGTTGCCTTCAAAATTCACTAGGCAAAAATCCTAGGGATTATGGACTCTAGGAAAAAAGATATTTTTGTTTATTCTCAATTTTTACCCACAAATCTGTAAGCCTAAACAATCAAAATACTATATATGTTTGAAGCAAGCACTCAGAAAAAGAACTCTGGGTAGCAAGAAAGTAAGATAATTAAAAGCTCTTTGGGTGCCAAGTCTACTTAGCAGTAACAATGAGCTATTTGGAGGGTGTTTTATAACTCACACATTATTGATAGCTGCTGAGAGAGGGAAAACTGAAAGGCATCAAGCTCTTTTACCAAAGTGACCCTTTCAATCACCTGGTCTTCCCCTGCACCTTGTGCTAACACTCCCTACAGCTATCTTTTTTTTTTTTTGAGATGGAGTTTTGCTCGTTACCCAGGCTGGAGTGCAATGGTGCGATCTCCACTCACTGCAACCTCCGCCTCCTGGGTTCAGGCAATTCTCCTGCCTCAGCCTCCCGAGTAGCTGGGATCACAGGCACGTGCCACCATGCCCAGCTAATTTTTTGTATTTTTAGTAGAGACGGGGTTTCACCATGTTGACCAGGATGGTCTTGATCTCTTGACCTTGTGATCCACCTACCTCGGCCTCCCAAAGTGCTGGGATTACAGGCTTGAGCCACCGCACCCGGCCCTACAGCTGTCTTAAACTCAGTACCAATTTTCTTGCTCCTTTCACTCACAGCTGGTGAAAGCCTCAGAAAGACCCATTTGTTTTCGGGTGTGCAGAAGCTTGAATTGCACATCAAGCCTTGCTGGAAAAGGAAAATCCACATTTCTTGAGACTCTGTATTCAGGGTGCCTTAAATTTAATCACTGGAATAATTCAGAGAGATGTGCATTTGTCATCCCCATTTTATGAATAAGGAAGCAAAGGGTCAGAGAGATTTAATAATTTATCTTGTATCCCTCAGTAAACTATAAAGTTTTGGATGAAACCTTCAACATCATCATCATCATCATCATCATCATCATCATATCCTGCAAGTCTTCTATAGCAAGCAAAATAATGGCCCACATTACTGTCATGATTCCATTATAAAAATAAACCTTCTCTTCAGGATATCTATATTAAGTTCCAAAGTCTCCTGAAGGTATAGGTTAAACATAGTATGGCTATGATCATTGGAAAATACTTCATTTTGAAAAAGAATAATGAACAGTACAATGCACACTAAAAATATATAAACATTAAAGATATAGTTTAAAAACCAAAATAAAACAGTGAGATCCTGATTGGCAAGAGTTAAAATGTGCTAGTTGGGCTTGGAAAAACAGGTATTTTCCTACACTACTATATGAAGGCTAAAAGTTCAGTTGCCTGGAATGGCCATACATCAGTATCTGTTAAAAATCTTCAATGTGCATATTTTAGAAGCTGGTGCTTTCACTTTTATGTACCTACCTATTCTAGAGAAACATTCACACCTAAGAACAAAGAGGCACACACAAGATTCATTCACTGAAGCACTATTCCAAATTTCAAAAACAGAAACAACTGGTTGATCTGCCACAGCAATCACGCTCACATCACTTCCTCAGCTTAAAATCCCTCAGTCACTTCTCAGGGCATCAAAAATAATCCAAATGTTTACTCTGTCCTACCAGGAGCAAGAAACCTGGCCCGGCTCATAACTCCAATTTTATCTCATATCCTCACTTTCTAACCCTCCACCACCTTTGCCTTCTTCCTGGTCTCCCAACACACTATGCTGGTGCCCAACTAAAGGGCCTTTGCCCTGTATGCTCCCTCTGCGTACAGCCTCCTCCCCTACTATGTATGAATTATGACTTCTTTTAGTTCTGTTATCAACTTAACAGTCACCTCTCCTGAGAGAAGCCTTCCAGGACCACTCAGTCTAAAGTTGATCTTTATTTTTATTAGCCAGCTTAAAGCTACCTTCTATTTTTTCATTTATTTATGTCCCTTCACCAGAATGCAAGCAATATGAGAAGCTGCCCTTTATCTGTTGTGTGCAGTTTCAACCCTAGAACTAATATGAAGGCAAATGAAGCTCTCAATAACTGGTTTTAATACAATGAATGTATTCTATACTAAACTACAAATTTTCACTCAGTAAAGAATAAGACGGATTTATATGTACTATAATGAAAAGACCTAAGACTAACAGTTAAGTTTGTTTTGAAAGAAACTGAATTATAATACATTTTTAAAATGTTTTAAAACACATACATATTATAAAATTAAAACCTTCCCTTGAAGATCTCTATGGCAAGCTTCTTGTTTCCTGAAGCAGCAGCCTGAACTACAGCTCTGATCATTGAAAAATAATTCACTCTGGGAAACATGATGTGAAAGTGAAAAGAAATGTCTTAAAGGACAGAACTTCGGCTTAGTCCTAAAAAGTGATGGGAATCATTTTTACAACAAAAATATATTTATGCAATACTTATATAATTAAAAATATTTAAAGATTAATTCAATACATTTAAAAGCAAGCTTATCCATCCTTCGTCCCACATGTGGCCCAGGATGATGTTGAACATGGCCAAATACAAATTTGTAAACTTTCTTAAAACATTATGAAATGTTTTTGTGATTTTTTTTTTTTTTTAGCTCATCGGCTATTATTAGTGATAGTGTATTTTATGTATAGCCCAAGACAATTCTTCTTCTTCCAGTGTGGCCCAGGAAAGTCAAAAGATTGGACACTCCTGTTTTAAAGGAAAAACAAATATATTTATCAGTTTTATAAATACAGGTTTTCAGGAGCACAGATTATATCAAATATTTCTCCTACAAGAGGACAACTGCTTATAAGCGCCTTTTCATGGTCTAGAACAACAGTTCTAGACACTTACTGGTTTGCCAAAGAATATTAAGTATTGTTGTGACTACAGTTAATTATAAAACAAATTTATCCCAGCACTTTGGGAGGCTGAAGCGGGTGGATCACCTGAGGTCAGGAGTTTGAGAGAGCCTGCCCAACATGGCAAAACCCTGTCTCTACTAAAAATACAAAAAATTAGCAAGGCGTGGTGGCAGGCGCCTGTAATCCCTACTAGAGAGTCTGAAGCAGGAGAATCACTTGAACTGGGAGGCAGAGGTTGCAGTGACCCAAGATTGTGCCACTGCACTGCCTGGCGACAAGAGCAAAACTCGGTCTCAAAAAAACAACAAAAAAATTTAACTTGTTAGCAAGAAGAAAGCATTTACCTAAGCTCTGCTATGTGCCAGGAGCTGAGCTGGGTGCATTACAAACCTATTTAATCCTTGAATGGTGTTACTATCATTATCCCTTTATAGGTAAGGAAAGTAATCTCAGGTAGAGTAAATATAACTAACACTTTGCCCATGATTACACAGCTAAGAAGCAGAAAAGCTGGAATTAAAGCCCAGAAGATCTTACTCAAAAATCAGCTGGCTTTCTATTGAGCAATTTGCTGCCACAAAATAAGTGTATTCTCTCAACCATGAATTAAGAGAATGTATTTAGGAGACAACTGTATGTATACAGATAAGTTATATTAAGAAGCTACAGAATAGAGAGGAAGGAAGATCAGAATTACCAGTCTCACTGGCAGACCCAAAAGAAAACAAGAATACCCAAACTGAGATAATTTAATCAATTAGCCTTCTGCTTCCAACCACTGCAACCATTTAAAATACACAAATGTAACTCCTTTATTTAAAATTCTGGGGGAAAAAATTCCAAAAGCAATTTTAATAACCTTCTCTGATATTTACCAACCATTAGCTTGGAAAAGTACTCCTTAAATTCCATCTGTGCTTTCCTCTTACAATTTGGGTATAGTTATGTGGCCTCTAATAGAAATAGGAGAAAGTGAGCCATTATATACACATCACACCAACCATTTATATCGAGATTATGGACAGGTGTCATGGCTCATACCTGTAATCCCAGCATTTTGGGAGGCCATGGTGGAAGGATAGTTTGAGGCCAGGAGTTTGAGGCCAGTCTAGGCAACACAGAAAGACCCCATCTCTACAAAAGTTTTTTTTTTTAACTAGCCAGGTATGACAGTGTGTGCCTGTAGTCCCAGCTAATGGGGAGGCAAGGTGGGAGGATTACTTGAGCCCAGTAGTTGATGCTGCAGTGAGCTATAATCATGCCACTGCCCTCTAGCCTGGGCAACAGAAGAAGACCCTGTCTCTGAAAAAAAAAAACAAAAAAACAAAGTTTTGAAAAATATTGTTAAACTATGAAAAGTTATTTTGTAACTTAGCTAAAGTTTATAGCTAGTCATGTACTTCATCACTTTTTAGCTTATACTGAAAACTGAAAACTAAAGAAGTTCAAAAACAAAGATGAATTTAATACCAGTAGTAAAATCTACTTAAAACAGCTCTACAATTGAAATCTTCTAAATACATTACAAAATAAATGGCCGAATAAGGCTTAGCATTAAGAATAAGAGATAGTTTAATTTCTTTGACCCAGATCTCTTCCACTTTTAAAAGTCTCTTGCCACAACAAATCTTTTATTTCATGTAATAAAATGGTGACATTTACTTATTTAAAAAAAATTTAGTAACAATATAATCATTATATCTCTGCAATCAGCTGAAGTTCTAAGAAAAAAATGACAATGTTTTATCATCATTATAAATTTTCATGTTCAGTATATGTAAACTCCAAAGCCAATTTCAAAAGATATTTTTGTGAAATGCCATTCTTTAAAAAAAAGAGGACAGTGTATATAACTGTATGAATATCAAATGTTTTACGGTACAGATTTGCTAAATTTTATGTATGCTATAAAATAAATACCATCTGAAAGTATACTGGCATTCATAATAAATAAATAAATGCTTGAAATATACCCAGTAGAAACTTTTTATTTTCCAATACTTTTGATAAGAAATGCTTCGAGTGTTATGTACAAACTTGATCTTCTTTGAAAAGTGCTGTCCACTGCTTTTCTGTTTCTGTCACAGTAGTTATAAATAGCTGTTTAAGGATATCCTTATCTAAATTCCTGCCTGCAAATAAAATGAGATATGATGTGATTACATTATCCTTATTAAAATGACACAGTTCACCTATCAATTCCAATTCTTTAAAAGCTTTATGATGTTTAGAAATTTACAAAAAGAATAGTAATTGAGTGATTCCATCTTTAACTTTTTAGTTAAGTACATCAAAACCACATTGGTGCTTAGATTAATCACTTTTCTAAAACTGAAAGAGAACAAAAGGCCTAACAAGTTCTTATGAATGTTATAACATGATAAAGATGAAACATTGACCATGAGCTTAGCTATAAAGGAGGATACTGTTTAAGTGGCACATTGATATCCCTTTTAAATATATTTATCACTTTGTTTTAGGAGTGTTAATCCTTTGTTACTTACCAATGAGGACCAATCGATTTGTTCTCTCAGTGTCACCCTTCCAGCTCACTGGAGTCTCTTCCAGATCATAGAGCTCATGGACACCCTGGACAATCACTTGTTGTGGTTTGTCTTTGATTGACACCAATCCCTGCTCAAGGAGAATTAACTGAACATTAATCAGCCTCAGCTCAAACTTAAAAGCAGAAATAGAGCATCAATGTTAATGGATGAATTATTTATATCCATTTAAAAATACAAACTCTTAAGCTGACAAAATTACTGAATTCCAATTATTTGTGAATTATAAAAAGTTTCTTAAAATTTTCAGTTTTCAAAAAAGGTTTCTGTGTATTGATTTTTTTGAACAACCCTTTTTCTAATGATAAAGTGAATACATATATTAGGATGGTCTGTCACTGTTATTTATCACAATCAAAATCTGAAATAAAATATGTAATGTATTATATCCTATTGATTAATTTTAAAGATTTTATATAGTGTTTCACAGTGTTAGTGGGAAAAGTTGAGAAGTTAAAGGATTTTGGTGATATTAAATAATCTGTTTTAGAAATAGGTTGCAATCAATGGACAATGATGAAATAAAGAAAAACTATTATATCTATCTGAATAAAAGCTCATTTAGTATTGATTTGCAGCAATGAAAAACAAATTATCTGATAAACTGGCTCCTATGGGGATGAAATTAATTTCTTTGAAATCATGTTCTTAATATACCAAAAACTTTGTGGACACACAAGAGTGGACACTCAACTGCTGACTGGTTAAGCAAACACCTAGAACCACTGCTTCCTGGAAGAGACATCTTTCATGACATAAATACCCAAATATCCAGTCATATGAGTGGGTTTCTAAACACAGAACAAGAGTTCTTCTAGTCCTTTGTAACTTCGTTTAGAGTATGACAAACGTTTAGTGTCTGCTAAATGCATCAGGAAGCATAATGTTCAGCAGCAGCAAGATCTGCAACATTATTTTTCTGTACCTGGGAATACAGAGCAGAAGGTGACATTTCAAAGCATATAGGTTGTTCTATCTGCAATCCTAAAGGAAGCTGTGCAAATAAATCATGTCTTATGCAGTGATTTCCAAAGCTCCTTTTCAGCAATGAAAATAATAAAGAAAAATGAAAGTAGACAAAGATTATTTGTACTAAAACCAGTGTTTCTGTTTAAAACCAAATATAGTTTTTATAATAGCCAGGAAAAGGACTTTGTCTAAAAGTCTACTGTACCTTTAGCCTTATGACCTCCATACAGTGATTGTCCTTGTTTCTCACAGTCTTTTCCCACAGGAGATTCTGTATCAAGTGACATATTTTAATAAGACCAACCATTGCTAATAGCAACAACTACGTAACAAAACTGTTGATAAATCATTAATCAGTAAAAATTGCATTTACCTGAATAAATACATTAAGTTGTTCTTCCTTTGCATTTCCTGGTACTTCAAATGTGATTGTAACAATACTCTGTAAATCAAGAGAAATAATTAATAGTAATTCTTTATAGTAATGTCAACACATTTTTTTAAATCACAAGTTTTAAGATGAAAAGGAACATATTCGGCCGGATGCAGAGGCTCAAGCCTGTAATCCCAGCACTTTGGGAGGCCGAGGCGGGTGGATCACGAGGTCAAGAGATAGAGACCATCCTGGTCAACATGGTGAAACCCCGTCTCTACTAAAAATACAAAAAATCAGCTGGGCATGCTGGTGCGTGCCTGTAATCCCAGCTACTCAGGGGGCTGAGGCAGGAGAATTGCCTGAACCCAAGAGGCGGAGGTTGCGGTGAGCCGACATCGCGCCATTGCACTCCAGCCTGGGTAACAAGAACGAAACACTGTCTCAAAAAAAAAAAAAAAAAAAAAAAGGAACATGTTCATGGAATTTTACATTGCCTAAGCCATATATATTAGGTATATTTTTCTCAACATATATGCTGTTTTTTTGGAATTAGCAACTCTATTTCCTACATTCTGCAGAAGTGATCAATGGGTTTAGTGTTTACACAAAATACTACCTTCTATTTTAAAAAATTTACTCAAAAACCCTCATGAAAGGGTCCTCATTATTTAACTCATTCATTTGTGGATTCTCAGCAATAAGAATGACTGTAACACATACAGTGTACTGACTATACAGAGCCAGGTACTTTTGCCTGAGTCACCTCATTTCATCTTTTCACTTACTCGTTACAAGAATCCTGGGGAGTGAAGATATCTATTTCCATATAAATTGGGGAAAATAAGGCTAAAAAAATAAGCTAACCAGAGCCAGGAATAAAACTCAAAAGCAAAGTAAATTTGTTCTCTTAAAAAACATACAAAAAAGGCTTGGATTATCTCTAACTGAATAAGCGTGTGCCAAGAGAAGAGTTCTTGGAGATGAGAATGATAGGATAATGCCCTCTTTGGCTTTAGTATGGGTGATATCACCATGTATAGGATATTAACTTTAGGATTTATTTTTCTTCCTTATCTTGATAAATCTCTCATTGTCTACCCTAAAGAAACAAAAACTTAACATTTCCTCTAACAGGTTACATAATTAAAACCCAAACCTCCCTTTGCCAATATAACCACAATTTCAAACTCAGAGATGAAAATAAACAAGGGCTAAGTACAACATTATAAAAACATAAACCTCATCTTGAGAAACAGAGGCTCAAAAGCCAAGCTCAAAATGACTTTAAAAAATGTAGAAAAGCATATACTACAGCACAGCTTTACATAATTTCCTAGAACCACATATCTGGCCTAACAATTTTACTCACCGTTACATAATCATATAGGCTTACAGTAGAAAATACAAAAAAACCAAAACTATTTTATAATCCAAACTTACAGAATACCAAAAGGCAAGTATTAAAGACCAATTTAAGCACAAACATACAAAACATTTATTTACTATCATAGTTCCCCAATAACCTACGGAAATAAATAAACAAATGTCTTGTACATTTGTGTTGGTTAACTTCTTTAGTGATGATGTGTGAGATTTTGGTGCACTCATCACCTGAGCAGTATACACTGCACCCAATTTGTAGTCTTTTATTCCTCACCCCCTTCCCATTCCCCGAGTCCCCAAAGTCCATTGTGTCAGTCTTATGCCTTTGCATCCTCATAGCTTAGCTCCCACTTATGAGAATATAAACGATGTTTGGTTTTCCATTCCTGAGTTACCTCACTTAAAATAACAGTCTCCAATCTCATCCAGGTCAATGTAAATACCATTAATTCATTCCTTTTTTGTGGGTGAGTAGTATTCCATTGTATACATATTCCACAGTTTCTTTATCTACTCATTGATTGATGGGCATTCAGGTTGGTTCCATGTTTTTGCAATTGCAAATTGTGCTGCTATAAACATGTGTGTGCAAGTATCTTTTTCATATGACTTATTTTCCTCTGGGTGGATACCCAGTAGTGAGACTGCTGGATCAAATGATACTTCTACTTTTAATTCCTTAAGGAATCTCCACACTGTTTTCCATAGTGGTTGTACTAGTTTACATTCCCACCAGCAGTGTAGAAGTGTTCCCTGTTCACTGCATCCACGACAATATCTACTATTTTTTGAATATGGCTGTTCTTGCAGAAATAAGGTGGTATCACACTGTGGTTTTGATTTGCATTTCCCTGATTATTAGTGATTAGTGATGTTGAGCATTTTTTATATATTTATTGGTCATTTGTATATCTTCTTTTAAGAACTGTCTATTCATGTTCTTAACCCACTTTTGGAAGGGATTTTTTTTCTTGCTGATTTGTTTGAATTCATTGTAGATTCTGGATATTTGTCCTTTGTCAGATGTATAGATTGTGAAAGAGTTTCTACTTTGCAGGTTGTCTATTTCTGACTGTTCCTTTTGCCATGCAAAAGCTCTTCAATTTAATTAAGTGCCAGCTATATGTTTTCATTGTATTTGCTTTGGGGTTCTTGGTCATGAAATCCTTGTCTAAGCCAATGTCTAGAAGGATTTTTCCAATGTTATCTTCTAGAATTTTTATAGGTTCAGGTTTTAGATTTAAGTCCTTAATCTATCTTGAGTTGATTTTTATATACAGTGAAAGATGAGGATCCAGTTTCATTCTCCTACATGTGGCTAGCAAATTATCCCAGCACCATTGTTGAAAAGTGTGTACTTTCCCCACTTTACGTTTTTGCTTGTTTTGTTGAAGATTAGTTGGCTGTTAAGTATTTGGGTTTATTTCTGGATTCTCTATTGTGTTGCACTGGTCTATGTGCCTAGTTTTATAACAGTATCATGCTATTTGGGTGACAATGGCCTTATAGTATAGTTTGAAATCAGGTAATGTGATACCTCCGGATTTGTTCTTTTTGCTTAGTCTTGCTTTGGCTATGTGTATGTGTATGTGAAACTATCCCTGCATCTGTGGTATAAAACCCCTTGATCACGGTGGATTATCTTTTTGATATGTTGTTAGATAAGGTTAGCTAGTATTTTGTTAAGGATTTTAGCATCTATGTTCATCAGGGATATTGGTCTGTAGTTTTCTTCTTTGGTTATGACCTTTCCTTGTTTTGGTATTAGGGTGATACTGGCTTCATAGAATGATTCAGTAAGGGTTTCTTCTTTATCTTGTGGAATAGCATCTATAGGATTGGTACCAATTCTTCTTTGAATATCTGGTAGAATTCTGTTGTGAATCTGTCTAGTCCTGGACATTTTTTGTTGGTAATTTTTAAATTACTATTTCATGTTATTACCAATAACTGCTTGTTATTGGTCTATTCAGGGTAGCTAATTCTTCCTGATTTAAGCTAGGAGGGTTGTTTCTTTCCAGGAATTTATCCCTCTCTTCTAGGTTTTCTAGTTTATGCACACAAAGACGTTCATAGTAGCCTTGACTGATCTTTTGTATTTCTGTGGTTTCCATTGTAATATCTCCTGTTTCATTTCTTATTGAGCTTATTCAAATTTTCTCTCTTTTCTTGGTTAATCTTGCTAATGGTCTATCAATTTTATTTACCTTTTTAAAAAACCAGCTTTTTGTTTCACTTATCTTTTGTATTTTTTGTTTGTTTCAATTTCATTTAGCTCTCCTCTGATCTTGGTTATTTCCTTTCTTCTACTGGGTTTGTTCTTGTTTCTCTAGTTCCTTGAGGTGTGACCTTAGAGTATCTGTTTGTGCTCTTTCCGACTTTTTGATGTAGGCCATTAAGCCTATGAATGTTCTGTATATATCTGATAAGTCCATTAATGTTCCAGGATATAGTTTAAATCCATTGTTTCTTTGTTGACTTTCTATCTTGATGACCTGTCTAGTGCTGTCAGTGGAGTATTGAAGTATCTCACTATGACTGTGTTGCTGTCTGTCTCATTTCTTAGGTCTATTAGTAATTGTTTTATAAATTTGGGAGCTCCAGTGTTAGGTGCATGTATGTTTAGGATTGTGATATTTTCCTTTTGGACAAGGCCTTTTATCATTATATAATGTCCCTCTTTGCCATTTTTAACTACAGTTTAAGGTTTGTTCTAAGAATGTCCTGCTCACATTTGGTGTCCATTTGCATGAAATGTCTTATTCCACCCCTTTACCTTAAGTTTATGTGAGTCCTTATGTGTTAGGTGAAAACAACAGACAGTTGGCTGGCAAATTCTTATCCACTCTGCAATTCTGTATCTTTTAAGTGGAACATTTAGGCCATTTATATTGAATGTTAGTATTGAGATGTGAGGTTTCATTCCATTCATCAGGCTATTTGCTGCCTGTATATACCTGGCTTGTTTTTTTAATTGTATTTTTGTTCTATAGGTCCTGTGACATTTATGCTTTAAAGAGGTCCCGTTTTGATGTGTTTGCAGGATTTGATTCAAGATTTAGAGCTCCTTTTAGCAGTTCTTATACTGGTGGCTTGGTAGTGGTGATTTCTCTGTTTGTCTGAGAAAGACTGTATCTTGCCTTCATATATGAAGCTTAGTTTTGCTGAATACAAAATTCTTGGCTGATAACGATTTTGCTTGAGGAGGCTATAGATAGGGCCCAATCCCTTCTGGCTTTCAGGGTTTCTGCTGAGAAATCTGCTGTTAATCTGATGAGTTTTTCCTTTATAGGTTACCTGGTGTTTTGGAAAGGTTACCTGGTGTTTTTGGTTCACAGCTCTTAAGATTCCTTCTTTCATCTTAACTTTAGATAATCTGATGACAATGTGCCTAGGCAATGATCTTTTTGCGATGAATTTCCCAGGTGTTCTTTGTGCTTCTTTTTTTTTTTTTTTTTTTGAGACAGTGTTTCACTCTTGTTACCCAGGCTGGAGTGCAATGATACAATCTCGGCTCACCGCAACCTCTGCCTCCTGGGTTCAGGCAATTCTCCTGCCTCAGCCTCCTGTGTAGCTGGGGATTACAGGCACGCGCCACCATGCCCAGCTAATGTTTTGTTTAGTAGAGACGGGGTTTCACCATGTTGACCAGGATAGTCTCGATCTCTTGACCTTGTGATCCA